AAGTGGTAATACATGTATTATTATTTTTATATATTATAAACTTATTCAGTGCTTCTAGAACAGTACCCCCTAACTCCTGCTCTTCTTCAAGTCAGCTACATATAATTGCTTTTTTCAGACTTTTATGCCAATCTCCAGATAGATGAATCCAAGAGTGTGCTTACATTCTCAGGGAGATATGTCTGGCCCCAGTCTCACATCAGGGATGACATCCCACAGACTGTACTCACATTTTGAGGAATGACTATTTTACATTACTTATTGATTTGTTATCTGGTATATTTAATTTTTCCACCAGTTATGTAAGCATAAAGAATAGAAAACAATTATAATACCATCCTTAGACAAGTATATTTGGAAGATCAAGAGATTAAGTGTGAGGATCATAAAATATATGGCAGTACTCTGTCAAATGTTTCTATTCTTGATTATGCTGCTCCACCTGACTTTTTTGTGGATATTGGAAATATAACTATACCCCAGTACTATGTGATAAATTGCTTTGTAAGACTGAAATACTTCTGAAGATTGAAGCAGTATAAAAAAATGGAAAAGCAAAGTTGCTATTATTTTCTGAAGTTTATAAATGTAATTCATTGCATGAATTTTGCATATTTCATTGTAAAAGATGACAGGAAACAAGATAATGCCACCTATTCATTATCTGAAATGAATAAAACAAACTGCATCAGAGGTACCAATTTAACATGTATTAAAAACTTGTTTGCTATAACTGAACCTTAAGGTCAGAATTAAAGATATCTATTAGAACAAATCTTTTTAGCTTATTGTTTCAAGTAAAATGTCTAGATTGGAGTAGAATGAAAACCATGTGCTTGAAGGAAATGATAATAGTATGTGATATTCAATTTTATTAATGCTACTTTATAATGAAAATATTGAGAAGAATGTTCTCTATGTATGTCTGTATGTGTGCATCAAATCATTTTAAAAACACAGAAAGGTGCTAAGTACAGAATAATTATTCCTGGTAAAACTCACTGTAATTACAATGTTTTTATTGTGTACTTCATGATGAGTATATATACATATGTAGATGTTTGGGGCATGTGGACATTTATCATGTGTTCTGGGTTTGCTCTTGCTTCACTTTTGTGATGAAATATTTAAAATAGTATGACCTGGGGCAGGTGAGAGAACCAGAAATTGAGTATCAATGAATCACATGATCTTCAGAGCTACCTATGAGGCAAAAGAAAACACCTTTTGTTTTGCTTAACTTCCTGTTCTCTTTCAATTCTGAAGTGAGAATTTCACCAATTTTGGAAGAGGTAAATAGTCTTTTTTAATTTTGACCCTCTTTGGCTAGGGATGCTGCTAAGTAGTGGAGTGCTTGCCTAGGACAGGTGAGGTGCTGAGTTTGAACCCTAGAATGGAAGAAAAAAAAAGAATGATGGAAGGGTAAAGAAAGAAGAAAAGAAAAAATGAAAGAAATAAAAAAAAAATTAAAAAAAGATTTGAGTCTCTTCATCACAGGCTATTGCTGCTAAGAAGTAATAAATGATGCTGCTTATCATCTCACTGAGGAGCTGTAGTCAAGAAAGTAGGCTTGTAATCTCTTATGTGTTGTTTCCTGTGCTTTTTCATGATAATTTACACAAAGTGCTTAAAAAAGTAATAAACTGTACCAGGGAAAAACAAGTAGTGGAGACACCTCAGCTAGACTTAGGGAAATGGGAAAGGTAAAGGGTTAATTAGGGTGTAAATCCCAAGGCCTGCTTTCAGTAAATGAAATGAAAACATGAAGAAAAGTTGTCATCACCTAAGAGAAAGTGGGTTGATCTTGAGGAGAGTATTGGGAACAGGAACAAACTTCTGGGCTTTTTCATTAATCACCCTAAAATTTAATAAAGTCAGTGAAGGGAAAAACTGTAGTACGCCCAGACAATGGAACGTTAGTGCTAAAAAGAAATGAACCATTGTCTCATAAAACGTCATAGAGGACACTTATTTGCATATTACTAAGTGATAAAAGCCAATCTGGAAAGGCTACCTGCTATATGATTCCAACTATATAATATTCTGAAATAGGCCAAACTAAGGAGAAAATAAGAAGATCAGTGCTTTGTTAGACGTTGAAGTTGGGAGATGAATGGGCAGAACACAGATTTATAGTGCAGTGAAATCTCTCTGTTTGAGGCTATGGTAGCAACACATTTGTTTAAACTCATAGAAGGTAAAACACAAATAGTGAACCCTAATGTAGACTGTGGAATTAAGTGTCAGTATAGATTCTTCAGTTGTTAGAAAGGTACCATTCTGAAGGGATGTCAATAGTGAAGGAGAGGCTGCATGTGTGGGAACTGAAAGAGAAATATGTGTATCTTCCCCAAGTTTACTATAAGGCTAAAGCTTCACTAAATAGAAAGTCTTAGAATATTAATAAGGTCCAGTTCTATAAATTTTTGTTACCAAGTATTTATGAAAAAGGTCATTGACAGTTCATGCTTTGATGCACGCTACCATAAGTCATAACACAAAAGTATATAGTTTCCTTCTCGAATTTGACTACAATTAGGTTATTGGGAGAGTTACTTAGTTATTCAAATTATTCTTTAGATAGATGACTATTTGTTTTATATTTTTTAATGTAAAACTATGACACAATTCAATGTATGCTAGGACTTTTAAGAAAATGTCATGAATATAAAAAGGTAAATATTTTTCTCCAACAAAAACAATTTTAGTACAGGAATATGCTACTTCAAAACTGAGGATAAATGTATTTGTGTAGGCTCCTACTCAATATATGGGAGAAAAACAGAGAATCATGTGGTCATCACATTTTCTAATTACTTATATTCAATGCTGTATTATGAAAACAGTTAACCAAATATCATGCACCTTATTTTTTATGAGTACAAATTATCATTCTAAATGAGTGAAAATTTAATAACTTCTAAACAAGTGAAAACATAAAATGTTTAGATTTCTTTCAAATAAATGAGACAACTTGTTATTTTCTTTCTTCCTTTTTTTGTTCTGAGTTTTTGTATTAAAGACTTAAATTGAGCTGATTAAATCACTTCAGTACCACAGGGGGAAAGAGGATTAGCTCATCTGGCAGGATGAGTTAGGTCATAGTTTATCCAACCATAATTCAAGTTCTGTGTTCTTCAAGTCTGCAAGTTAAGGTTGTGTCAAGGGTCAGTGCCAAAATGTCTTTTATCACAAGTTGGAACTTATTTCTGCAGCTGGCTAAGCTTTAATTGGATAGGATTATCTTTAATTTTCTGCCTTCTTTGGTTTATAAAAATAGTTAATACTTTTATTAGAGATATATAGTAATATCTGTGTTATGAAGAAAAATCCGTTTACAATTTATGTCCCTTTATTGATAAGTATGAATGGGAGTAGTGTTAAAGTTGAATGTACAGATACCTGGGATAAGTAAAACTTTGGTAAAGAAAATGAAGGAAGTATCTAAAGTATTGTTTTTGAAACTGGATGTGATTTGTCAGTGGCTAGTAAACTCAGGTTAAAGGGTCTCTGACAGAATTTGGAAGATGAAATAAGGTAAAATGGAATAATGATAGGTCAGCACAGAGGAGAAAATACTTGGGCATTTATTAAAACTCACTAGTGTGACATGGGCTGGGGTAAGATATAAATTCTTTTTTTAAAAAAAAATTCTCTTTTTATTGACCTTGAAGAAAAATTTCTTTGTAGACCACTTTTGTATAATAAAAAGAATGGACTTTCTTGCTGTCTATGCAACTTTGGTAAATTAATATGCATATGTCTGTAAAAGGGGGAAAATGCAATCTCTCATATAGGATTAATATGAGAATTGAGTGGTATGTATTAAAGCCCCTACCATACATCATGCTATATATTAGACATTCAATTAATCATATATTTTATTAGTAATATTGATAATGGAAAAACTAACAAGACATTTCATAAAACATTAAATTATATGCCTAACAATCTTAAAGATAGCAGAGTGAGAGGATAGGTATTCAATTGATATAATATACCTAAAGAAATGAGTGTCTAAGAGATGAACAGGAAGGCATATCTGTGGTACCAAAAAGACAGGCTTACAAAACTATATTTGATTGGGATTATTCCCTCCCTTCCATTCTCTACTGGTCAATTAGGAATCCTGCACCCATTCAGCCCTTTAGGTATTCCAACCAAATATCCCTGTTGTTGCCAAATTGACCTCAAAATATAATGATATTTACCCTCAGGCATTCTAAGGCACACATGGTCTGGTTTCAGAGACTTCTCTGTAAGAAAGGACTAAGTTTATTGTAAGCAAATTGTAGTTAGATCAGATAGAAAATCAGCAATTACCATCAGTTGTGAATAGATGTTCATGTTGTCTCTACCCTTGTCTTGAAACAAGGCAATAAATAAGGTTTTTGAAATGAAGTGAGAACCACGTTAAAATCATACTGTAGTCATGTGCTTTTACCTCTTAATTAAATGTCCATCATAATTATCTAGATTATTTATGTTCTCTTCACTCTTACTCATCCACAAATTCCTTGATGGCATAAAGGATGTCTTATTTATGGTTCTCAGAAATATTTGACATATATACTTGTTTTGTGAATGAATGATTACTTATTATCAATATATAGATCACAATTTGACATACTCATATTTCTTCAGTTTTTGTGAAAGGCTGATTTCCATTGTCTTCCTAGCCAATTTTTATCTGTCATTGCCTAAGACAGAGAAAGGTGTAGTAGAAATGGTATGCCAGCTCACCCTGGACAACAGAATCCTGATCCTAATACCTAGTTCAGGCAGCTCAGCCCCCATGTTCCTGGATCCCAAAGTGTTCTCTATTTTACATTCCAGTCAGTGGACATATGTGTCTCTTCTGTACTGGAGTTCCACAGAAGTGGGTCATTCTCTGTCAAATAAATATGTAGGTGTTTATATAGTTTGTGTGTTATCTATTTTCTTTATTCTTTTTTTTTTATTTGAGAGCACTTTGAATGTTTTTAAATGTATTTTTCCAGGTCTGAGAATGAATAAAGGTGCCATCACTCCTCCCCGTACTTCTCCTGCAAATACGTGTTCCCCAGAAGTAATCCACCTGAAGGACATTGTCTGTTACCTGTCTCTCCTTGAAAGAGGAAGACCTGAGGATAAACTTGAGTGTATGTGTTTCTTCATTTAATTTGCTTTTTGTGGTTGGAGGCAAGGGAACCAACTGGATATTGATGAACTTAAAATTGCACCAACTATGCTTGTCTAAATTTTTTGTAAATTAAGTAACCTTGCTTAACAATATAAATTCCTCCTCCTGAGAATCAATTAATAATATTAAGACTTATCAATTTCAATTTGTTAAGTTCCATTTATAGCCAGTGATTTCTTAAGCATATTTTTCTTTTACATGACTTTTAAAGAAAGTCCTCATTCTTTTGAGTTAACATGATGCTGTTACAAAGCATCCTTTGGTGAAAAAGTATTGATTCTGGTGTGAAGTGGTATGGTATGAAGAGGTGTTCCTATTAGTGAGCCAAAAATTATCCCTTTATACATCCCGCCTGTATCCTTCTCCCATGGATAAATCTCTATTGCAATTTTCAGTGTTAATAATCCCCACTCCCTTTTTTGCCAGTACCAACATAACACTTAAATGCCAAATCTGAGAGTCTTATTCATAGGACTTGACTCTGGATATTACAAATTATTAAACAAGACCTTTGTTCCTTCACTGTGACAGGTAGAGAGTTCCTATCTGCTGCAAGTATCAATTATTCTCTTTCATAAAATATAGTGACTGAGCTCTCTCTGGTGGCAATCTATACTCATTGCAATGCAAGAAAATATTTTTCGATTACTCTAAACCTGATCATTTGATATTCTATTATCTCTCAAAGCTTTTAATGAATATAATGTTGAAACTTTATTAAATAATCTAATTAATTTGATTATACTGGATATCATTAAGATGAATTTAAAATTTTACTACTAAAATGATGGTGAAGCTAATTAATCCAAACTTTAATATTTCTAAAGTAAATGTAAAACATTGTGATATTTCTAAGTTATCATTAGGAAGTGTTTTTAGTTCAATTTTATTAATTTTTGATAATGTTTCTCCTCCAAATAAAGAGTTTACCAAAATAAGATGATATTCAAGAGTCACACCTGCTTAGGTTATAAATAAACCATGTGCACATCATCTTTAAATATATATTTATTATTCATAAATGTTACATATTTACATTTCAAGATTTATTTCATATTCCTAAGAGCCTACAGAAATTTCTCTCACTCCAACATAAATATTAATGTTCAGTGAATTCTTTTGAAGTAATGGCCAGAGAGAAAGTTTGCTCAGGTGTTATCAGAACCATATTTGGGATGATTAAAAAGATATAAAGACAAATATTTTTTCCAGATCTAAGAATGAATAAAGACCCCATCAATCCTCCCCAGTGGTCTTTGTTGCAGTTTAATTATTTCTGGGTCAAATAGAAATGTGTTGCTTTTAAGGTGCAATTTCTAAGAAGCATGCTTTTTAGTTTTCAGTTAGAGTTCTTGAACATACCTGAACTTTGTCCACACTACAGGCAGAATATGAACTCATGAGCCATCCAAAAACATTTGCTGAATCAAGTCAAGCCAATATGACATTCACTTTTCTTCATAGTTATCAGCACCCTTTGCTCTGTTGTTTCTTTGAGGTCCCAGTTCTTTTTATAAGCTTACACCAGATTGACCTACGGTTTCCCTTTTTTCCCCCCAAACAGTGTTTTCATATTCTTCTGTTACTATTGGGGTTTTTATCAAACTCCTCAAAGTAAATGATACCCTAGTCATCTTCTCTGTTTTCCTACTTTTTGATCCTCTGTTTATCCATCACAACCATCAGGTTTGTGTTTTTGCCAATGCCTGACCCTTCCCACATCAACTAAATCAGAATCAATCCCCCTTACCCAATTTCTTAGCAATTTGTCATACATTTTCTCCTACAAATGCACACTTACAAACTCCTAATATTCATTCATATATTCTTTTACAGATTTAAAAAAGATCTCAGTAAGACTTTAAAAAGCATTTAATAGTGTTTAGTTTAGAAGGGTTATGACCTATTAAACAGAAGAATTAAAAGAAAAGCAATTACAATTAACACAGACATAGGTGTGATCAAGCACCTAAAGTACTTAACTTTTGTATGTGAATACTGAATTTGGTTCTTACTTTCAGGTAGCTAAGTAGAAAGGAATACATATATGTTGATTTAGAGGTTCTCCATCTTTATCACCCATAAAAATCACCTATAGGTCTGTGCCCACAGCTTGCAGGGGCCCCACTCTTGCATATCTGATTCAGCAGACCTGCCATGTGAGCTTGGAATTTGGTTTTGTGACACATTTGCTAATGCTCCTGGCCCAGGGACCTCATTTAAAGAAACACCAGTTCATGCAACTTTTTTCTCTTGAGTAAACATTCATACACATCGTTTTAGTTACCTATTTCTCTGCTGTGACTAAAGGACCAGAGAAGAACAACTGTAGAGAAGGAAAAGTTAATTTGAGGGCTCACATTTTTAGAGGTCTTAGTCCATAGAAGGCCAACTCCTTCCTCAGGGCTCAAGGTGAGGTAGAGCATCATGGTAGAAGAATGTGGAGAGGGAAGCAAAGAGGAAGTCTCTGCTTGCCATATACAAATATATACCTCAAAGCCACGCCCCCAATTCCCACCACCAGCCACACTCTATCACTTCAATTACTACTCTATCAGGGAATTAATTCACTAATTGAATTAAGACTCTCACAACCCAGTCTTCTCCTCTGAACCTTCTTACATCATCTCCACATGAGCTTTTGGGGGGCTATCTCACATCTAAACCATAACACACATATACAGTTCATGTGACATAATTGTTGTGCTTCCTGGAATAGTGGCAGTGCTTATAAAATTCTTTTCACCTGGGTTATTAGATAAAATGCATGCATCACTGTCAGAGTTTAGAAAAGGAAGACATTTCCCCACAATAATGTTTTATACATCTATTCGCTTTTTTCTGCCACTTTCTATCTCCCTTTCTGTCTTTTACTGCGAGATATTTACATAATGTTTCATATAAAGCTTATCCTGTAGAAAAGAAACTAATGAACAAACGTTCTTGAGCTTTCTACCTATTACAAGCCATTTTTTAACCCCATCCTAATTTCTCTCTGAGGATCTTGATTGTCCTGAAATTATCAAGTAGAAGGTGTTTATTAACTTGTCCCCATGTGCTCTTAGAAAGAATGTGTGCTTGTCTCTGTGTCTGTCTATCTCTTTGCTCTGTCTCTCTGGTGTTGGTGCTACAAGGGCATTCCACTTTTTAATCTTCCCTTGTTGGTATCAATTTCTAACAATTCCAATGAATGGAAGAGGACATGACACCAGGGATGCCTTGCCTTCCTAACCTTTAATACCACCCACCAGGTGGTGGATTGCACCACCTACCTTTGTTGAAATCCCCCAAAGCTCATAACATTTAAGAACTGCTCTTACTCTCAAATAGTAAACTCCAGAATTTCTCTTGACCACAGACTTTGTGCACTTCCTAGTCTCATTTAAATATAGTAGAGCACAGTAGTACTTAAGAACCTGGACTCTAAACACTGATTAAACATGAATCCCAGGTAGACGCTAACTTGGTCCAGTTTAAAAACCTCTCCAGGACTTAGTCTCCCAAATTGTAAAATTGGAATCATAAAATAGTGACTGTGTCATGGTGTAGATATGAGGATTAGATGAGTTAGTAATTGCATACATAAATTTCTTCACCTTTATCAGTTCACATAGGTATCTGTTAAGAAAATAAATAACGGTCTGTTAACAGTTTTTGACCTTGACCACTTCACTTCTTCATGAATTTGCCTGCTACCTTTTGGCCTCTGTCCCTTCAAATTTAAATGGATCTCATAAATCATGATGTCAGGTATTCTCTCACACTTAGTTTTGGACATCCAATGCATTTATTAGCATTCTGGGGTGGTAGAAATTTAGTGGAAAAAAGATATAATTCTATAGATTATATTTCTACACAAGTCCTCAGCAATGCTTCAGTGCCCAGTGTTTCTCTCAGCTGAAAGTAAAGCCGACACTTTGTTTTTTCAAACACCTGCATGTTACCTATTTAATAATCATCTTGAATTCTTGTATTTTGTCTTGTGAATTTTTGTACTTTGTCTCCTATAACCTAAAGTGTGTCCACTGCTATCTATATACTTGACTCTTTCTATTCTGACATAGAGGAAAATATGAAATTGATGATTTCCAATTGAAAAATAAATATAATTTAAACCTATAACATAAAATATGGCTCTTCAGTTTGACCCACATTTTCTTGCCAGTCTCACATTTGGCTTGAACCTGCACACACACACCCCAACAATGTTCCTTGATCAACCTCTCAGTTATCAGACAAACTCTAAACTTTTCTACCTTCATGCTATCCTTTGGACTATGCATTTCCTGGGGAAATTCTTTCTCAGTGTATTTCTGATCCAGTCTACACCAGAGACCTACCTTGCCTGATATATCCTCTTGCAATCTCTTTAAAGATGTGTGTTTCTCCTTCATGCCTTACATTTGTTGAAAATGTGTCATGAAAGAGAAATCAATAGGAAAATACTTGGAAAGTAGATAATCGGCATGCAGATAATGAAGAGGAATCTGTAAGGTAAAGGTACTACTTACTATGTGTAGTACCTTAAAACCACTGAATTTTTATACTGAAGAGAACCACCAAAAGATCATCTGGTCAGCCTTCCTATACTTTATCAGTGAAAAAAACTAAAGCCCCAAGACACTGATTATTAATTTGACCACCAGTTTGTCTAGTTATAATTGAAACACGATTCTTAACCTACCATATAGTGCCCTGTTTATTTTATTTCTGTTTTTATTGTGAAAAATATTACTCCATTGCACTGGTTGGCAAAAACTAAACAGCTGATTTTCTTTACCTCTGCCCTTAAAGTTTATTAAATAGTTATTGAAGTACATATACCTATAAAATCTTGAGAATTAAACCCTAGTTTAAAGGTCTTTAAAAATATACAATTTCTAATGTTTAATAATAAGTTCTATATTAATATTTTCATATCAATAATGTATCATGAAAAGTTTACAAACAACATAGTATGTATTCTAGTATAGTCAGTAAGAAAAATAGAAACCGTTAGAACTTTGGGGAAGAAAAAAATTATAAGAATAAAGAATTCCCTTTTCTTACATAATATGCCTCGGCTCTGATCTTTTAACTAAATACATGTGTAGGCACGTAATTTGTTCTATATAAAGTGAAATTATGGGACCAAAAAATAGAAAAAAAAGTGAGTTAAACTAGGTCATAACTTTGCAACCAGTACTCACCTTTGGAAATCATCATGTTGATATAATAATTTTAATATTGGGCTTACTTTATTTTTACACATAAACCTCTATATGCTTATGTTGGTTTTAGAAATAAGATCTGTTTTTTCAGTTATTCACTTACCTTGAAGCCTACCTTTACTTTTTATTTATGCATTTTTAAAATTAATGCTTTATAGATATACGTAAAGGTGAAATTCACTGTGGTGTATTTATATATATATATATGATAATTTGGTCGATTTCATTGCACCATTCCTCCCTTTGCCTGTCCCTCATTCTTCCCTCAATTCCCTTCTTCTACTCCACTAATCTCTCTTCTGTTTTAAATATGGAGAAGAAATTGTCTTATTATAACAAATATTAAAGCTTAATTTTACCCATATTATTTATAAATATAGTTTTAAAAGGGAAAGGTTTTATAGGCTTATAAGACCAAACAACGTTTATTTTCCATCGAGTTAATAATTGCCTTTTTCCCCTAACTTGATAGTTTTCTCTATCCATACAGCTAATTAATTCTCAACTTTGCCCCCACCCCATAAATTTTGGCTTAGAAACTTGTGCTCTTCGTACTTTAATCTTTTCATTGATAATGTCCTACCCCGTTATTTTATTTGTTCTATCTTTCTAGAACCACTTTTATTTGACTATAGAAGCTTTAAGACAAAACTTTGAGTTTTTCTTTCTTTCTCTATTTTTCATCTTCTTTCCTTTTATCTATGTCTTTCATTCCATATCTGGGACCTATTTTACATCATATGATGACTTTTCTCACACTTGTTTTTTTAATCAGATTTTGACTTCACAGATAATCCATTTTGATCCCAGCAGGATCCTTATATGCTTCTAGTCTTATTTCATGGATATAATTTTCTTTTTGCTACCAGTGGGCACTGGGTCTCCACATGTCTAAACTATACAAGATGCTTTTACAGAACTTTATTACACTGAGGATGAACAAAACCACAGGGTTTCCTTCCCTCTAAAGAACAGTTAGACTTCTCTATGGCCTTGACCTCCTGCTGTTAACCTCTCCTCTGAGTGAATCTGTAATTTCTTAGTACTTATAATGGTAATTTTTACTATTTGCTACCACACTAGAAAAAATCTTGAAAATCTCATTGTCCATATTGTGGTAGGCATTTTTTTCTACTGCATTTTATCCTCATTTATTGAGGAGATGAGAGGGAATAATCTGTATGGTTTGCAAATAAACATATTTAAGTGTGTGAGTTGGCCTAACATTTATTTCCCTTAATTCAATAGGTACATTCCCCCTTTATATTTTAACATCTTTTAGATTTTTTCCCCACTTACAAAAAAATACAATGTCATCATTAAGTTGGCAACATTTTAAATTTTAGTGATATGTAGAATAATTTTAAATCTTATAAATAATCATATCTTACAATTGGTGAAATATAAAAATCATTAAATAAAATGATAATAATCAATGGCAGTTATTTCATCAAGGTCATTGCATAATTATGCCTCCTAGTTATCAATGTCTGTTTTAATATTGTAGGTCTCAGACACCAAGATCCTACAGGAAATTATACAAACCCAACACAAACCCTCACTTCCACTCTTCTGTTTTTACAGCTGTATCATTCTTCTCTGTTTACCTCAAAAGGGCACCTGCAGCCTCTTCCACAGCCTCCTAGTGGTGTGTGAATTCTACAATGGAATCCTCAGGCTGGGAAGGCTTTGTCCTGCTCTCCTGAGCTCACTAACATGTAACCCATACTCTCCATATCCCTACTTCATTAGTTAAAAGATGAATTACCCCATGAAGCTCCACCACAGATCTAGACAGATGAACCATTGTAGCCATGAAAACAATGCATTTTGTGTGCTGACATTCCCCAGAAAGAACTTGTTCTTTGCACTCCTCCATCCGCTTCCACACTGTTTGGGGAATCAACCATTACAGTGGCTTATATCTGAATAGAACCTACAGTTTCTGGCATGCACTTGAGTGTACTGCTTCACTTAATTTTCATAGCAAATGGGTGTCTCTTGGCAGTGTGATTACCTCCCTTTATAGATAAGAAAACAGTGTTGGGCAAAGTTCCTGTAAGATTGGAGGGTCGGTTCCAATTTATAATTAATTTTTTAAATTTCAAATCATTTGTTTGTTCTTATCCACTTAGCCCTTTGATGTTCAGATTCTGAGTGTCTCAACTTTTCTTTTGTTATATTTGAGTTTTTACATTTAATGGCCAAATAAGGGTTTGAACAAATAATGGTGCTTTTTCAGTGTTTCCTAGATACAAACAAAATTTGGTAGATTTCGTATCTGATATCTAGTGTTTTTATTAACAATTAATTTGTTTTCAATTTAACTTGGGAAACAATCTCACAAATAACTGCTTTGAGCAATGGAGAACTTTAACATTTGTTTTCAACAGAAAAGTTTTAAAGAATATGCCTTAAACTAACATTGATCTTGTTCACCTATAATCTTTTTTTAACACTTCTTTTATTCTAGTTATGTTTCGCCTGTATGACACAGATGGGAATGGCTTCCTGGACAGCTCGGTAATTTTTTTCCTTCAAATTTTCTGTGAAAATTTCAAAGTAATTTCTTTTGAAAAAGGCAATGAATAAATTTATAGCTATTACCACAGAAGGCACACTTAATATAATTTACATCCATTCACACAGCATTTTTATCATTTGATTTTTTCGAAGGAGTGATCTGAGGAGACAGGATTATGATTGTTGTATTGAATAGTTTTGCTATGAAAACATGACTTTTTTTTCTGTGCAGAATTTTGATAAAAAAGGAAGACTCCAACATTGAATAAAACATTAGATAAAGTTGAGACCACTGGTCTAGAAAGAAAGAAAAACTATAACTATCAGTAAGATTTGACATTAAGGAAAACATTGAGAATAGAAATAAAATCTAAAGGAATTATAAAGTCAATTTAATAATTTGATTATTTTCTTATTTTTCCACTTTTAAAAACATATTCTTAGTCATACATGCTGTTGAAATAAGAATGTATATATAGGTGTGTGTGTATATATGTGTATATATATGTGTATGTATGATTATACATATATATATATATATATATATATATATATATATATTTTACATATTTTCATAGCAAATGGTTGTCTCATGGCAGTGTGATTACCTCCCTTTATTGATTTGACAGACTTTCCTTTGTAAAGTCTCTCATCTAGTTACATATGCAGCTTGCACTCTAAGGCATAAAAATTAGTGAAAGAAAAAAATACCATCTCTGTATGATTAACTGGAAGGAACACTCAAATGTTTATTTTATTTGTAATGTACAGAGATCATGGTTAGCTCTCAGAAAAGTAGAAATTAGCCTCAGTTCCAATGTACACATCAGTATGTCCTATGAAAAATTAGCCTCCATTCCAGTGTGCACATCAGTATCTTCTATGAAAGCCTATTTCAGGTTTCATTCAATAATGTACTATGTATTTGCTGATAACATATTTGTCACATTATATTGTTTCCTTTTGTCTCAATGAAAAATAAGAGTGTCAAGTTCTGGCAATTGTGAAGTACACAGGCACATTTACACCAAGTGTTTTCACACATTTGACAATGACTGAAATACATACTCTCTCTGATGGTGAGTTTCTCTGGTGGTGTGGTGGGCCTCCCTGTGGCAAACTCAAATAGACTTTCTCAAGAGGAGCAATGAAGCTGGAGACATGTTTATGTAACACTGAGGAGGAAAGTGGCATATTAGCATCGCCAGAGAAATTATAATTCCCATTGCAGGAAATGACCACCACCGCTTTGAACTGATGGTCTGATTGTGGGACTTATGTTTAAGTCTCAGACTATTGCTTTTAAATGCTACTTATCTTGAGTTTTCCATTTAGTAATTTGGGGGTGCATGATAAATTTTCTGGTACCATTTCACAGCTAGGAATTATGAGTTTTTTTCTAGATATCTCAGTATGCTTATTGTAACTACAATACTACATATTGTGTTGTAATGAGAATCTGTTTTATTTAATATTTCTTTTAATTAAGTTTAAATGATGTTTCTTGGGCTGGGATTATGGGTCAGTGGTAGAGTGCTTGCCTAGCACACATGAGGTACTGGGTTTGATCCCCAGCACCACAGGAAGAAAACTAAATAAAAAAAATAAAGGTATTGTGTCCATCTAAAAACTAAAAAAAAGAAAATAAAAGAATTTTTTTTAACTAGGCTTTTAACCATGGGTTGAAATTTGGTGGATTTGAAAATTTAGCCAGATTTTTTTTTTTTTTTTTTTTTTGGTCTTGGGCCATTTTGGGGTAACATGTATAGTAGATTACTTGTAATATTCATATATTGCAGTATTCCCAATATTGAACAATGAATTGAGGATAAATTGTTTTAAATTGATTTGTTGATGGTAGTTACTCTTTTTATCTTTTTCTTACTGATTAAATTTTGGGGTTTTCTCCACATAGTCCATTGCCCAGTAATTTTCTTCAGTATCAGTTTCAAATTGTACCTTCTGGAGTCATTTGTCCTGATATTTTAATAGCATAGCAATTCACCTTTTGGAGGACAAAAAAAGAGAAAATTGATTTGGAAAATGATGAGTATGTCTCATAATGAGAGTTAAAGTTTATTGATCCTTTATAATAAGCTAAACTAGATAATATATTTCATATAACAAGATGTTTAATCTTGGCAGCAACTTTATCAACTAGGAAAAATTAGAATATCCATGTTTAGTGATGATGAAACTAGAGATTAAATGACTTATGTCACGAGACTATGTAATGTAGTCCATGAAAAATAGTTCTTCTTAAAAATACATCCAAGGACTTCAACCTCTCCAAACCATTGAGTTGTTTATAAGCAAACATGGACTAGGTAATAATGTAGTAATTCAAATACACAATTTTTGCAAGTTTTAAAATTTAGCAGTTTCTAATATACATTTATGTTGTTATGGGGCTTCCTATCATGCATTAATAACATAATATATATTTTTTAGAGAGAGAGAATATAGGTTTTACAACTTCCTCAGAGGGACCTACTTTTTCTAATTTTTGCCGTATTTCCTTCTTCACGTAATGAACATTGACCACATATATTAGATCAGGGGTGAAGTAGTGTAATCTTTGACTAATATACTTTCAAGCCTAATGCTTTTATACTTCTTATATTTGAAATTATACCACTTTTTAAATCATGTTATATCTCCATTTAAAATCAAAATTTTCTTACAAAGCCATGTTTAATCTTTTCTGAAAATAGGCAAAGAAAATTGAAACATTGAAGACATACATCTGAAAAATATTTGAATTTTATTTAGCCAAGCCATATGTATTCACCAGTAGGTCTTCAAAGAGTTGACATTTGAGCAGAATACTATAAAAATTCAAGCTAAAATTCTATCCTCTCACAAAATAAACTCTACATATACTTAGCCTCCAAACCTTTACCCTGAATATCCTCCTAGCAAAGCACATTATCCCAATAAATGACTGGAAGAGTCAATATATGTTCTCAGTGTATCAAAATAAAAATAAACCTCTCAGTTGCTCTCAAATGCTTCCTTCCACCCGTGCACATCTGCTTGGAAGCCAAAGGGTCAGGATGGTCAGTGACTTAGAAAATCACATCCTGTGAAAATATACATAAACTCCTGCTTTCATCAGGCCCTCCTTTTCTAGTAGAAGAAAGCCTTTCTTGGTATAATTGTGCCCTCTTCTGGTGGAAATTTCTAGACAAAGTACAAGATGAATTTCTATTTAGTTTCCTCTTCTCTATATCATTAATAAAATATTTAAATAGGAATATATGTATGTATCTTATTTATTTTTTAGCTACTTGTTGAACAAAACAATTCCTTTAAGTCAAAGATTAATAAGATCTTCTATTCATATATTCTCTCCCCCACCCGACCCCCTTTTTCTCTTTTTTTCAGGAGCTAGAAAATATCATCAGTCAAATGATGCACGTTGCTGAGTACCTTGAATGGGATGTCACTGAACTTAATCCAGTAGGTATAGAATGATTTAACTGTTGACTAAATCCTAGAAGGTTTCTTTCTTTCTTCCTTCTTTCCTTCCACCCTTCCATCCTTTCTTTCTTTCTGTCTTTCCTGAGACTAAATATATTACTATCATTTGATTTTTGTCTTTAAGTCACTCTAAGTTACTATTTCTAATGAGAAGTCAAAGAGGATTCTAAATAAGACAAAGTATATGTGGTATTCTAAAGCTCTCATCAGTTAACTTTTGTATCTTCTCCAAGGAAAGCCCAAAGCTCTTTGGCTTCTTCATAATAAAGCTTGGAATTTTTAATCATTTTGTTTAAAGAAACAATACCTCATAACTTTAATAAAAACTTCTTACTTGAGTAGAAGTACTAAAACGTCCAACATTATTCAAATGGATATTAAAATAATCTGCATAGAAAACATAATTTTCTATGAATTTAGCTGTAAGAAATATTTTGGAAAATGATGATAGGAAATACTAATTTTAATTCATTTTGAAGTCAATTAAGATTACATGAATAAGGCAAATACAGATCAATTTTAATTGAAATACTTTGCATTTTATATGCATTTTAAAAGTCTGTAAACCAGTTTTTGCATTTATGCAGTTAGTAGCATGATAAGTGCATGAATATGTGTTACAAGAGCTCAAAACATTTATCTTCCTTTCTAAACAACGCAGTAAATACATAAGGTGCAAAACATTGTACCATTCATAATTGGATTTGGATTTTTCCAGTTGTAATGCAACTGTTTGGGGGGAGGGTTGTTGTTGTTTATTTGTTTGATGTAGAAATGCATCCAACCTTCTCCTAGTGACTGGCAGCTATCAGTAACAGATTGTATTTTGTGTATGGAATGATAAAGTAGATGATGAGGGTTGGGGTTATGGCTCAGTATTAGATTGCTTGCCTAGCACTGGGTTTGATCCTCAGCACCACATAAAAATAAATAAATAAAATAAAGGTATTGTGTCCATCTAAAACTAAACTAAAATAAAATAAAATAAAAAGTAGATGATGGCATGTATTTAACTTATTGCTCAATTGTCTTAGTGTTATTTTTTATGAAATCAGGGGATTTCTTATAAGTTCTGTTGACCTTTTTGGTTATGGTAATCTAAAACAGCTTTCTTTCCTCTTCCCTACCTTTTGACCTGTAAAGATTGTTCATCTATCAATCAACTGAGGAAAGGAAGGGAGATTTTTTTTCCTAACAACTTTCTAAATAGAAGTGGGTACCACCATTTTCTAGCAAAAATTGTTTTTGGTAACAGGAGGTGTAGGTTTGAAAAAAAGGAAGATCTAGATGCTGGGAAGAGGGAGACAGTAAGTGGAGTGGCTGGACAGCCTAACTATGACAAATACAGATGGGAAAATAGAAAAAAATACCTGTAGCATTATTTGTCATGTGTGGTCTGATAAGCTGGCCTCTATTCTGAATATTTCAGTGTGAAAAATAAAGATTAAGGCCTCCTTTTGAGCATGTCATTTGCTATTATGGTGACTGCTTTATCTTGCCTACTGCTTCAACAGTGATCTTCATTTTGAACAAATGTACACAGTTTGAGAGTCTTATTAACTTGGCATATATGAATAAAAATAAGTGAATATTTGAGGTTGATCATAATTAGTAGGGAAGGCTCAGATGTTCTTTTTTTTAATATGTTGTGAGAGAGAGAGAGAGAGAGAGAGAGAGAGAGAGAGAATTTTTTAATATTTATTTTTCAGTTTTTGGCGGACACAACATCCTTGTTTATATGTGGTGCTGAGGCTCGAACCCAGGCCAGATGTTCTTGAAAGGAATTTTAATTCAACTAATCCCAGCTCTAATGTTAGTATTAACGTTAGTATTAGTATTAGTTTAGTTTATTCTCATATGTTCCTTTCCATTGGTTAATGAGCATGCCCCTCAAGAGGCAGGGCATTTTAACTGAATCTTTTGCCATTTTATCAAATTTAAAATAATTTATCTTTTATTTTTAGAATAATTAAATAATTATTCCAGCACATTTTTTTAATTTTTTTTTCAGTACTTACAGATCATTTTGTTGCTATGAAGGAAAACAATAGGATTTTAAAATACTTTCTGAGGAAATACACCAAGCACAGAATTGTTTAAGCAAACAATATTTTTACCAAAAAAAATTTCAGTGGTGGAGACCAAACCAACAGCATTGTACATGCTCCACAATCTCTCTATTACTGGACTACAGCCCCAACTAAATATTTTATTTATTATACTTTTAAAGTTTCTGTTGTAATGTTCTTTGAATTTCTTGCTTGTTCTTAATGTTTGAAATTCCCACATTATATAAAGGCAATAATGCACTAGGGTTCTTACCAGGTTTGCCACCTTGATATCTTGAGATGGGAATTACTTTGCCTTTCCAGCAGCCAAGGGTCATATGGTTGCACTCATATAATTTACTTTATTGTAATAAAACAATACTATGTAACATGATATATGCAGGGGTCTTCTATTTATAATTTGAAGTAAGTACCAACATCATCACCATTCCACAAAGAGGTTAAATGTATTACAATACTGTGAAGAACATTTTGGGACATTATTGCAAGTTATCTTTAGAAAAGAGTCTAATTAAATATGATTAGGTCATTTAAATTTGGGGCTCTATTGAGTTCTGATAGGCAATTAAAAACAGCTTCATTCTTCTACCCTTTACTACTTAGCAAAGAATTCTTTGAGCTCTTTGCCATGAAGTTAATTTGTTCAGACATTTTCTGGCATATATATGAACCTAAAAAAATAATCATCTTGAGGAAGTAATTAAAGACCACTTTCACTATTAAATTAAAGTTAACTTATTTTAGCTGTGCTATTCATTGAAAAAATATTAGAAATTTAAACACTTATTTCTAGCAGTAGATCAATGTAGTTAGCTGTGTTCCAAAAATCATTAAGACACTATTTTCTCAGTAATAGGATTAATGTTGTACTGAGTTATCAAAACATATATGCCAACTCTCCCTTTCACTACTAGTCACAATTTGTTGTAGTCAATTCAATGTAATGCCTTGCCATATTATGTGAAATGCATTTTATTGATTCTTTTTAAGTCTTCACTGATCTCCTCTTCTCCAGATCCTTCACGAAATGATGGAAGAAATTGACTATGATCATGATGGAACCGTGTCTCTGGAGGAGTGGATTCAAGGAGGAATGACAACAATCCCACTTCTTGTGCTCCTGGGCTTGGAAAATGTAAGCATTTCCATGGAGAAGGGTGGCCTCGCAATCACTCAATGGGATTCTCTATTAACCTTTTGATTATAAATTGATCTGGCCGTTTTCTACCACGAAGCATGTAGTGAGTGCCTGCTACTTTTAATAAATACACCATGGTGCAATTTAACAGTAGCTCCTTATGTGGTAACACTTGACATAAACATATTGATCCTCTTAAAATAATACCTTAGGATTACATGTGTATTTTTTTCTCTTTTGTTTTCCTTTGTTTAAAGTGCAATCCTTTTAAACTGCCTATCTCCCCAGTGTTGTTTCTTCATATATCATTTAATGTAAGAAATTCTGTACTATTGTTGTATTCTGTGGTCCTTGTGATGCTCTATCTCAATCAATATTCCCCCTCACATGAAGATAATCTATTTTATTGATATCCCATACTTGGAGAAGTCAATTAGGTATTGGAGGAGGATGAGAGATATACATGTATATGAAAAATGTTGTTCTTATATTTCTGCAGATCAACCATGTTCTTATTCTAATTTAATTCTCAAAAGTTTTTTTTTTTTAATTGGTGCCTAAGTGCCATTGTATTGGCAATTAAATATATAGTTTGGGGGTTTAAAGTAGATCAACCTATGACCAGATGTGATATAATAATGACTTTGAAACTAAATCTTGCCTAACTCTGCCATAAAATTATTTCAGAAATTAATTCAGAAACCTGGTGACATCAACAGAAAAAAAAAAAAACTAGTTTTTGTATTTAGCATTAATTCTGGAATAGGAATGAACTATAATATGTATATAATAGCATATTTACTTAGAATCAAAGAGTATAAGGGATAGAAACCACCCTGACACACATAACATTTAAATTTTTGAGATCCAAGAACATGGTGTCTACCACTTTGCTCCTGATCCTCAAACTCTTCATACTTCTTGTTACCAGCAAAACTAATTTTGCAGATTTGAGACTATTCAACACAACAAATTTTTAAAAGTCAGCTCTCAAGACATTTTACAGTCTGTTTGTGAAACCTATGAACGTATATATAAACATGTTTGTGTAAATGGGTTTAAGAATATATAAATAGGTTTAGGGTTTAGGATTATATATGAGTTTACAAATAAATAGGTGAAGTTCAGAAAATTATCCTTTCTTTACTTTTTACCTGGAATTTCAAATTATTTACTGCTATTTTGATGTTACCTTTCATAGGAACTCTGGGATTTTAGTCTCTGTCAGATGAAGAAAAAAAATACTAATAGTTGATATGTAGGACATCACCTTAAAATAATTTATGACAAAGATAATGAATGTTATTATCTTTGTCATAAATTATATGTTTATATATAAACATCTATATATAAATAGATGTTATTTCTCATAAATACATATTTCTACACTTTGAAAATTAATTATTCAGTATTTCCTTGTACCTTATGTTTGTATGCTACACATAATTTAGCATCTTTTATAACTTGTTATATACCCCTATTATAATTATTTAATTGTTGAATATACCTGTTGATACAAGCATTATGTAAATTGAATTATGATGAAAGAGCAAAAGGCAAAATTACAAAATGGCAGCATTTTAAGTTTTATTTACATTCTGTGCTGAAAAACAATTGTTAGAAGACTCCCGTCATGGAGAACCAATAATAATGGTTCTCTAGAAGGGAGTTTTATATTATCAAAACTAAAATTTGAGTATTCTATATGCTTTTGGAAATTGGTGTATGAAAGCAGAGGAGATACAGGAATGACTAAATGAAATGTAGTCGGATGTGAGACAAGAAAGTACAGAAAAGGAGATTTTGTTACATTTATTTTAAACATCACAGAGGATGTTGAAATAATGGTTTACTTTACATATTATTGGTTATAAAAGGCTTAAATTTTAATTTATAAATACAGGTACTTGTAAAATTATACAAATAGCATGGCTAATATAGTTCACAAATTTGTTTAGATTTAACTCTAAATATTTTAAAGAAATATGATATTTCATTAGTTTCTGGCAGTAAGTTACATTGAATGAAATTTCTTTGCTTTTAATGTACATTTGGTTAATTATTTGTAAATTATCTTTAATTGAATTTGTAAATTAATATTTTATGTTCTTAGTTCTAAAAGATTGACAGGAAAAATAAATTTAGGGTTTTGTTAATAGTAAACAGAGCTGTGTTCCCAGCCTGGCCACTAGATGTCAGGGCCACATTGTTTAACACGAATAAGGCAAATATATTTAAGAGATTGGATGTTTTTCCTCTGTGAATTACGATTCTGAAAGAAATTTCCCTTTTCTTTCACATTTAAAAAAAAGAGTAAGGCAACCATATTTTAAGTATCTTTTAATAAGATGTATAAGCACTGTAATCATGTGTAATGATCATAAAACAGAATACCTCTCTGTTAAAAATAGCTTTTTAAGTCTAAGGCATTGTAAGTGTTGTAAAAACCAGGAATGACACCAAGACAATTGAATGATGAGAGTCTTTTTTTAGTAATTGAGATTTATTTCCTTTCTGTAGGCAGTTAATGTGTTATGTTATTACCTGTAGAGAATTTGATCCCTGGTGCTAGAGCCTCAACCCCCACCACATCTTTTGCTTATTAAATTGGAAATCTAGATGCTTCAGTTTGAAGCTGGCCATTTATTATAAAGCTTGCCTTGTTATGTTGTCCTATATATTCTTGTCTATTGTCAATTATGAGCTTGGAGAGTAGATTCTAATTGATAGTGGGTGTTAAATACCACAGTGTATTTGAGAGTGACTGCCGTGGACTATCCAATAGCATAGTTAAAATTGTCATTCTGAGAGAGTAAGCCTCTGTTCTCATGTAAGGCACAACTGTTATGATTTCACTATATTTATTTTTCTCCATTAACAGAATTTAAAATGTTGCTCTATTTTAAATAAAATCTGCTTATCTACTAAAATCAGAAATGTAGTTTATCAGGACTTAATTCTTCACCAAACACTAAAAAGAGTCATTTCTTTTCTTTCACAAGCACTAATGCAAACATCACAAAACCCAAGATAAACTGGTCAAAAACAGTACCAAGTCTTAGTGTCTCTTACATTTGAAGGAAAATAGGGAGTTTAAATGATTATATGATTTTGATTACCACTACCAAAAGTTAACTTGAAACATTCTTTATTTATTTTGGAGAGAAGAGGGGACTGGGGACTGAACCTAGAGGTGCTTTATCACTGAGCCACATTCCCAGGCCTTTTTAAATATCTTATTTAGAGGCAGGGTCTCACTGAGTTGCTTAGGTCCTTGCTAAGTTGCTGAGGCTGGGTTTGAATTTTTAATTCTCCTTTCTCAGCCTCTAAATTTCTGGGATTACAGATATGCACAACTGCACATGAAGAAACTTATTCTTTTTTAAATAGTCATCTTACTGAAGGATTTTTTCAAACCTTATATAATGAAAACCTTTTTTTTTTTTTTTTTTTTTTTTTTTCTTTTCACTAACAACTATTTGCTTCAGTAACTGGAACCTGTCTATCATGGGAAATACATTATATAGTTTAGGTTTTATGGCCATAAAGATCTCTGTCCCAACTGCTCAGTGCTTCTGTTATAGCCCAAAAGTAATCACAGAGATTGTAAAAAAAGCAACCAATAAGGCTATATTCCAATAAAACTTTATTTATAAAACAGATTGCTTAACAGACTTGAACCACTTGCCACCTTTTGTGCCAACTGCTGATCTGTTTTGTTACTAATTTGTCATATTACAAACAGAAGATGTTTTAATTTACTTTTAATAATTCAGGAGACAGGACTCTAGAATACCTCTGACTTGGCACACAAACAACCACAGCAAGACATGAGTGAGATACAGAAGCAGTGGACTTCATGAACTGATCTCCATCCTGACTGTTATTAAGTCAGTCATTTTGTGCCAGGGAGTTGCCTCCTCTAAAAAATGAAAAGAAAGTTAGTCAAGAAGATGTTTTTCTTTTTCAAAACATTTTTTTAGTTCTAACGTTTCTTTTCTTAGACCAACAAGACAATTAATAATACTTCAATTCCTGAAAGCCATAATCTTGAATCTTTACTAAATTGTTCAAGAAAAATCCCCAAATTCATATTATTAGAAATTCCTTAATTCCTAAAAACAAAAATACACATTCACCTATTATACACATATAATAAATGTAAATATTATCCATCCAGGTATCCTTGAAATGACCTTAACTCCTTGGCGTAGACTCTTGTGCCCACATCTAATCTATTCTGGTTTTAAAGAGAATGATTCCATCTCAAAGAATCTTGGCCTTTAATCCTTAGAAGTAACATAAACTCTTCCTTTGATTGAGATGGTTTAAGACCTGTTAAATTTCTTGATAGAATAAAAGAATATGAAATATATTCTCTGATAAAATTTCTGAGTGGTACAGTATAAATGATAATATATTTTAATAATCTAAATTATATTTTAAAAATTATGATTTGTATTCCAATTTTTACAATGTTAATTTGGTTTACAGTTTTTGTTCCTCTATATGTACATAGTTCAATATAGAAAGAAATTTCAAAACCAGATATATGTGACAATTCTTGAGATTTCAGATTAGGTATTGAAAAAGAAAAATGAACATGTGGTTTCACATGTTATTGAGTTCGAATCTGAGCTGCAGGGTCCCAGTCTGCTCTCAGAAGGTGCAGTCTAGAGATGAGCAATTCACTGCAAAGCTGCCCCAAATTTTAATATTTATCTTTGTTTTCTCATTGACCAGTGTCTGATATAGCTTGTTTTTTTTTTTGTTTGTTTGTTTGTTTTTTTTGTTTTTTTTTTTTGTCTAAATGAGTAGTTTCTTTCATATTGACATTTACTGTTTGGAGATCTTGAACAAAATAGTAAGACAATTTAGTGATCCTTATTATTTAATGGATTTAAAGTAATTTGCCACATTGGCTCATCTATGTGTTCTAAATAAGTCAATTGAAATGTGGCTGGGTGCCAGGGAAGGAGTACTTATACTGGGATCTGTAAAATTTCTCCTTGAGGTCTTTTGAAAATAAAAATATTTACAGTGCTATAGTGGTTCCAGATTAGTTGAACATTATATTTGAACTTTGAAATATTTAGGAAAATCCTAAAATTTTAGAAATCACTAGGATAAGGAAATTAAGTTTGAAAAAGCACAAAGGGCCTTCTCCCTTTGAAACATCCCTTTGGCTTCTAGGGAACTGAGAATCAAGGAAAGACGTGAAGCTCCTTCTTAAGAGTAGACCAGCCTGAGACTCAGTAAACATTTCTCTCTGTCCTAAGCACAGAACTGAGCTGCTATATTGTAATCTGCAGTGCTGTATCTGGTAATGAAAATAAACTAACACATTTCCTATGAAATAAAGTATATAAAAATCTATGAATATTTTTCTTAATTCTTTTAGCTGATACGTTGGGATGTTACACAACTCAACCCAATGATGGTAATAATATTTGCTGTTTATATAACACCAGTCTTCTGAAGAGCTAAATTAACTTCACAGGTATTGTATAATGAAACCTCACAAGAAGGCCTGGGAAAGCAAAGTGGGTACTTTGATTTCATTAGAGAGGAAAATAAGAAGAAGAAAGATGAAATGGCCGGTTCACATTTTCATAGTAGGCAGGAACCAAGCCTTCTGGATTCTCCGTTCATTTCTTTCTTTTTTCTTTTTCTTTTTTTTTTTAATATAAAAGTGAATTCATTTCTTGGCAATAAATATTTATTTGTAACAGAAGCACTAATAGAAATATGCTCTATTGGCTGATAGGATATAGGAAAGGACAGATTCTTTCTCTTCCCCACTAAGTTTACAATCTAAATAAGACAAACAAGACAAGACATGAAAATACAGAGTTGGAGTATAATTTGCACTGCTGAGAAGTAGTTGGCTCCTGGTTTCAATTTCTTCTTTTAAAGAAGTCACATACATATTTCATTCCTTGCATATTTTGGCAATGCATCCGGCTAAGAGCTATAAAGCTATTTGATTTGTTTTTTGGTAAAGCATTTTATGCCTGGGTAATGGATTTGTACATCAGTTGCAGCCTGTAACATGGCTAAGTGTTCTGATTGACAGAACACCCACATTCAGACTTGTTTATTTTTTGATAAGGAAAATGCCAGCTAACTTAGTCCATATGTGCTCTCCAACAGGATGAGGCTTATTCACATATAATGGACAATCATTTAAAAATAAAATGACAAGGAATATAAAAATGGTAATACATATGAAAAATAGTTTTTTTTTTCCTTTCTTCTTTTACTTAAAAATATTTCAAAGAATTTAACTGCTAATTTTAAAGTTTGTTAGTTTTAAAAATTAACAATGCCATAGTTAAACTTTTTTTACATCAGGATGTTTAATTTTTAAAGCAATATAAATTTAAATATAGACAGTTTTCAAAATATAGCAAAGTTAAACACGTATTCTATTCACATTTTATTACGACTTGAAATCTTATGGTTCATCTAAACCCAAACTCAATTAGGAAATTACTATGAAGTCTATTTCTTGAGTTTTAGAAAACTGAAATTATATCTTCTGAAGTTCTCTCCTTGACACCTTATACCTAGCTGCTTTTGTTGAGATCTCATTAGCCCCTTGTCAGAAAGCCAAACATGAGCATTGTTGAAATTTATAGGTCTAGATTTACCCTTCTTGCAGGTTAATGTGTTGTTAATGTGTTAACTTGCCACCATTTCCTGGAAGCTGGCAGAGGACATGAGACTTTTGGGTAAGAGACAATGGGTTTTAGTACTCACAGTGAAGCAGCATCAGGAACTTCATGTTTGATCTGTTTGCCTTTCTCCCTAAGTTTCATAGGGAAAATGAAGTGAAACCCGACTAATTGCAGTGTACAGCATCAGAGTTAGGAACTTCTATCTTAGGGAAACTAAATCTCTTATAATGTGCAGTAAAGAAATCCGTTTAATCTTTGCTTAGAAGAAAGAGATTATCCTTAAATAAATAAACCTGCCTTCTCTACTGGCTAGAGAAACATCTTTATTGTCCAAAGCTTTTTTTCAGTAAGTTTGAAAAGATTTCTTGGGAGGGCGGAATAAGAAAAGATAATGCTTCTGCTTCCAAAACATGCAGACATTCAAGAGATCCATGGAGAATTATCTCCCAGATAAACCATTTTTATTAATGTTTCATAGTATGATGCAATTTTTTTATTGGTTGTTCAAAACATTACAAAGCTCTTGACATATGATGCAAATTTGAAATTTCTGGTTCTAATGTAAGAATTAGTTACTATACATTTCCTCTGGTATTATAAATCTGATGCCTTGTCTCTTGACTAAGAATAGAAAAAAGTGGTTAGGAATGTTAATATGAATATTTTCTTATCAAAAGAATCAAGATGATCTGGATGTTTGTGTTGTCATACCACCTCAGAATTTATGATTTCCTCAGTACATAGTAAATGCTCAAAAATTATTTGGTGAATGTAATTCTAAGAAATGGGACAATTTGGCTAACCTGAAAAATTATGAGTTATGGTGGTGTCAATGGAGTACCAATAAATTATGTCTGAAATTAAGTTTCACACAAATTAGTGAAGTGAATATGGAGTACACATGTCAATGAAGAAAATGATGGTAAAATTATATGTATTGAAATATATAACTTTATATCTGTATTTTGACCTTCTTGTAAGGTGTTCAAGACTCATTTTATTTAATCTTGAACTATACAGTATGATTAAACATCCATTAGAGAAGTAGCTATTATTATATGCAGAGTTTTACTTAAAACAGTAAGTAATAATCACAGAGTTTTTTGCTAAATGTGTAAATTAATATAAACTCAAGGTTTTGTTGACAAAAACTAAGCTGATTGTTATACATATAGCAATGCAGTTTACCATCATTCTCTAATAATAAAATCATTTATTTTACAAAAGAGACATAAGCAAGAAGGAAATGTAATTTAATCCCGTAAAATATTGATGCATTTAAATTTATTATTTGAGATATGGAATATATTATTAGAAAATATAACATAGCCTACTATCCACAAATTAAGTTCTAAAGTAACACCATATCTTGCTGGTAAGTGCTGTATTTTCCAGCCCATCCCAATCTTCTGCCTTCTTATAAGACCTAACCATCATTGGGAGTTTTTCATATTCCCATTCTAAGCAAGGGTTAATCTAATTTTTACAATTTTCATTGTTCAACCACTTACACTCAAGAGAATTTTCTCTCTTTATTCATTCACTTGTTTATGGAATTTTGCTAAGAATATATTACTCAAAGGCGAGGCAGACACGTCCCTCTTCTGAGGGAGTGCTCAGTTTGCCAGATCATAATGAAGGTTTGGGGTATGCTGTTGAACTGCTGACATTCGACAAGAACTTGTGGGTTGCTATAGCATCCACGATTTGTTAGTGGTGTCTCATTCCACTAGAGCACATGTGTTTTTCTAAGACTCTGTGGCGATCTTGGAGAAAGTCAGAGATGAAATAACAGATTGTCTTCAAATGCTTCAGTCCAGCTCTGAATTTTATTGGCACCTACATATTCTACTGTTTATTTCATTAAGTGAAATCTGTTTCTCTTATATCCCTGTGCAGAATGTGAAGGATGATGGACAGCATGTGTGGCGACTCAAGCACTTTAACAAACCTGCCTACTGCAATCTTTGCCTGAACATGCTGATTGGTGTGGGGAAACAGGGCCTCTGCTGTTCCTGTGAGTATGTTTGCTCTGCCTGGATGCCCTCACCCCCAGTGAGCAAAGGCGGTTTTATAGAGTCCTGTTTGTCAAATGATAAAGTAATCCAGACCCTCTCTGAATTACATTGCTCTGTAGACCTCTGAATGAAGTCACTCTGGTTTTACCTTTACTCAGTTTTGGAAAGTCCTTCTTCTGATAAAGAGTGAAGGAACTTTTCTAATTCTTTAGCCATTTTCTTTCCATTGTAGTTTAATTTATTCATGATTTTGAGTTCTTTTGGAATTTTCACTAATTTGTAATTTCCACGAATTTCTCAGTTTACGTGTTATTTATTTATTTATTTTTATCTCCCTAAGTTTGGCAATTTATTCACACAGACTTCTTATAATAGTGTAATTCCAACAGGTCTTTAAAAAAATAACTGATTAAAAGTAGTTTGGTATTCAAATTAAGTTTAACACCTCAAGTGTGTTATTTTTAATGTTCTTATAAAGAAAATCTTCAGATGTGGTTGCAAGTTTGTAAGTGTGTCCATTTTTCTAACTTCAGTTCACTTATATTTGGAATTATTTTTTTATTCTATTAATTCATTACTGCCACTTAGAATTTTTCTAATACAGTATGAAGGAGTTAACTTTAAAAATTACCTAAGTATTTTTAATTCTATATCATATCTATCTGAGAATACTTTGTATTCTCTGACATTCCTGCTAAAGTAGAACACATATCATTTCCTCTTCATTTAGGGCTAGCATTCTTCATTAATCCTGCAATATGTCTATCCACACCTTTTTCTGCTATGTACAAAGTTACTGAAACTATCAAGCTTATCAGATACATCCCACTTTCCCACTTTTGCACAGTTAATTAAGTTTTTATCTGGCTAGCATACAATATACAATATACTGTTTTCAGATTTGTTGTTATTTTCTTTCTTTTTGTTTTCCTATTCGTTCCCCCTCCTTTTTTTTTTTTTTTTTTTTTTTTTTTTTTTAGCTAGCAGCTTGTTTGGAAATAAGTTTGCAAATGTACTTTTTACCAGATATATTTTTTTGACACCAAATCATTTTTAGGGTAACATAGGGTATCCTAAATGTTAAAGGATGATAATGAAGTTCCATGAAACTTGCCTGTATCTCTGAAGACAGTTTCTGGTGGCCACATTTGAAACATTGTTTACTCTGGAACATTCTGCATACACAAAGAAAATGCTTTGTTTTTAAAGTCCTATGATTTTTTTAAGGAGAATAATATTTTATGGTAAATTCTATTGATAGGAGGACATGAAACAAAATGACTCTCAAGTAAGGTGAGTGTGGTTATATAAATGTGAGAATTTTGTTCACAACTTTTTTTCTTTTTTTTTTTTTTTAACTGACTAGTAGGGTGAATTCAAGAATCTTGGCATGATTACTTGTAGTAAAATTTTAAAAGTATGTTTTCTTCCTCAGTGTTGCCCCCCCAAATCACAGATATTAACAGTTTAGAAGAGTTTTCTAGTATGTATGTGTATATATATATATATATATATATATATATATATATATATATAT